CCCCCACAGGTGAACATCTGTTGGGTTGGGGAGGGGGTGGGTGGGTTTCTAACTCATGATCGTTTATGTAAAGCGCCATGAGTTAGAGTGGGCCCCTGAACATCTGTAGGCACCTGTCTGAAAGCTTTGATAGTTGGGAATGCCAGAAAGTAGAGTAATCATCATGTTGCTTTTGTGCCAGTCAGAAAAAAAACAATCACAAAAATGTTAAAAAAACCCAAAAACCTGAAAAGCATTTTATTTTCATAGCACTATTTCACACTGATCATAGTTTCACACTGCACTATTTAGCACTATTTCACACTGATCACTTTTTTCACTGGTTTTGATAGATTTTTCAGTCTCTTCTTTTTATCCTTTTTGTTGTTTTACCACTGAAAATGGGAAAGGAAGAAATAGGTGACGTAGGGAGATTTTTTGTTGTTGTTTTGTTAAAACCAAAAACATGCAGATGTAGAAAAATGGGGGGGATGGGAAGGGGGCTTATTTTTCACCACACAAAAACCTGCCAGGCCTGATTTACACTTGAGGCTGAACTGGTTTCCAGCCGGCCCAGGGAGTATAAGCACCAAGGTGGTGAAAAGCTGCCTTTGCCTTCACTGTCTGGGCCTGTGCCAAGCACAGTTAGGTCAAAACAGACAATCTAGGTTAATTGTTAGTTCAGTTTCTGATCACATGGTTGTCTTTCAACTGCATGGAACCTTACAAAGAAGTAAAAAAGTGAAAACAAAAAAGTAAGGAGTCACTTGACAGGTTTAAAAAACAAAAAAGAAAACACTCAGCCCCTGATTATATGCAGGCTTTTTAATCATAACCCCAGCAAGCATTACCAGGAAGGCTTTGCAGGTGGGACTCCCTTGGAGGCCTGGCTGCAACATTTAAAATGAGGTGCCAACATCACTAACTTCCTCCCAAGGCAAAGTCCACTTGTCGCATAGCTGTCTGCATTGCTGGAGAGGTGCTGCAGGAAGCCTGCCTCACCATTCCTTGTATTTTCTTTCCCATTTTAACACCTTTGCTTACTGAAAGTTAAGTTTTTTACAGAGTAATTACTTTTCCCCATGAGGTGGTACATTTTCCCCTGTCAGGACATGAAAAGCAAATGAGTTGGTTTCACCAACACCAGCTCAGTGCTGCCATGGGCACATTTCAAACAGCAGGAGAATGTTTAGAGTTAAACAGAAGACACTGATAAAGGTTTTAAAGAGTTTTTTGGATGTTATAATATCAAAAGAAAGTTATAACAAAAGTTATAACAGTAAAAGAAAACAAGTATTACAAAATGTGTATTACAAGGTGTATTCTGTTTAAACAGGCATAAAAGCCTCTAGAAACAGAATGTACCTTGGTAGCTGGAAGTGAGAGTTTGCATTTGTACACACAGATCCATATAACAACAATAAATGGTCAACACAGACAGCCCCAGTCCAGCTCAGCTCATTCTTAAATCTTTTCTTAATTGGGTCCAAAGGATCTGATCATGGTCCTAATGAAGTCAAAGGGAATTTTGCCATTTGCTTACATGGGAGCAGGATTTACCCAACGGGTCATAGTTCCATTGGTTACTACATCTATGACATGGCAGCTCTTTTTTCCCTTTTCTTTCAATAGGATAGAGAAACTAAAATAGAGACATTCTACTAATTTTTCTCTTTAAAAAACTTAATACATCAATAGGGGAAAAAATCATTCGAGGGGTTTTGTACACCAGTTACTTGAGCTTAGTTCTCATCCCAGAACCTCACCCCTGAACAATTTGAAAATTTCAGTGCAACTTTGGCTACTTCAGACTATCTTCTATCAAAGCTTTTGTTCAAAGCTTCATGCCCAGAACCATAGGCGACTTTGATGATATAATAACTTTGTAGATCTGGGCCATAGACACATCGGAAAAGAGTTACCTTTGAACAATTTGTTCAGAATCTTCTGTTATCAACAGTCCCTATTAATGGCATCTGGATGTTAGATTCCCTTCTCCATACAGTTAACAGATGATGCAACCCAGCAAGGTTCTGAGAGCATTCAACCCCAAATGAAGTGTATGGAAGATGTATTCTGCCCCTTGCCAGTGTGTGGCATCCATATGTAGCATCCATTTTTAAAGCATTGCTTTCATTTAGTTTGGTGAATAAATGAAACATTAATGAGCTGTTTTAAAGCAATTTTTAAGAAAAGTTTTACTGTTTTTTGTGTGAAGCATTTTGATATTTTAATTTTGTTAATTGAAGGAGTTATTAAAATGTTACCAACTCTTTCAGGGTACAGGAAAGTCTGAGAGATGTACAAGGCAAAGGCCTGTCCCTTTGCTGTTTTACTGTGGAATTGACTTCTACAATGGCACAATTTGGCTGCTTCTAGTTCAGGGTCCAGTCCTTCCTGACTGAGTCGGTAGTAAAATTCCCATTGACTCAACAGGAACAAGGAAAGGCCCTCTATGAAGAGTTTTAAAGTTTGAAATGCAGTATCTTGCAGTTCACGGAGAATTTCCAAGCTTTGGAATATGACCTTTGGCTGCATCAACCTCAAATGACCTCCACTCCTTGTGAATGCCATAATGTTATTGAAAATGTCAAGAATAGACATCAAAGACAGAAAGTTAAAAGTCCTGTCCATAAATCTATTTGGCAAGTCAGCCCACCTTTCTATAGCTCCAAACACAACTCCACATCCTCTACTACACTCCTTTACACTTTAGAGTAGCCATGTAGCTGTTGTTATTTTTTTTTCTTATCAATTAAGCAGAAGTGTTTATTTTTCATTTTCTCCTAGGTAAAAAGATTCAGTGCTGAATTCCTCATTGCCTCAGCATCTCACACTTTTCTCTGCAACCAATTAGTGTTCAGCTATAGACTCTTAGGCAACTTTCTGCCCCCTTTTATTCACTTCCTTTATTCACTGAAAAGTGGAATTAGAGTTTTGTTTGAGTTTTATCCTTTACTCTTTGACACTGGGCCAGGGGACTGACGTAACTGCAAATATAGCCACACCTCAAATCTGTCCACTACAAAACTAGGAGAGCTGAGATCTGGTAAATGAACCCTATACGCATAATGGTCCAAGCCAAGAATTATGTTGGCTCAAAACTTTGGCACTTGAGTTGAGTTTTGCAGTGTGGGTCTTTCTGTAGTTTCAGGAATACTATTAAGATGATAATCCCACAACCCAGTGGGATGACTAGTTCCCATTAAAGTCAGAGGGGACAATTTGGTGAGTATGGTTGATATGGCCCTGCTCACAGAGAACACATTAGTCAGGAAACAAATTATACTGCGTTAGGACGAAGCATCTCCTGTGTATGTATACGTACAGGAAGGTTGCCATCTGTTTTTCAAATTTTACTTAAAAACTAGCTATTGATGCTTCCTAATGCTACCATATGTAGTGAACGCCATAAAGGATATCAGCAATATGGGGGGGCGGGTGGTTCATGGTGCAGGTTAATGGTACATTACCTGTATTTCTCAGGAACATGGTAAGCTGACTTAACTCAAATTAACAAACAAAAAGGCAACCTATAAATAAGCAACATTCTGGCATTGCACATGTTTCTTAGCAAGCAGTTTTAGCAATATATGACAATTTTTTTAACAAGGTGATAAACATTGAATTTTTTTGGTAGCTGTTGAAAAATGTTGGGAAAACTATCTTCAGGTATGTGCCTAACTTCCCATGCGTAACTGGGTAGCTGAAGCACAAGACATTTTCCTTGTGAAACCTTTCACATGGGACAAATAGAAATATCAGCACCGGGAACATCTCTGTTTATAGAAAAAGATTTACTTTAAATGGTGTGTGGCTTTTCTTTTTCTCTTTGCCACGGAATAAGGTGGAATTGTATCTCTGAGTCTGCACCTGCCCAGTTTATGCAGGCAAAATGTGTCTTGAAATCAGCAGAAAAAGTTGCTGAAGAAAGATTTCAGGATTGGGCTACCTGGGAGGGATAGTGAGCAGTGTCACTTCTCTAGTAAGACTGACAGAAGTGTCCTCTCCTCTCTGAAGATAAACCTACAAAGTTCATTTTGCCCTTTATAAAGCCTTCAATCTGGCATGGATGTGAAAAGAAGAATATCTCTTTGTAGCTTACCCATGTAGGGCGGGGAAAGGCTTAAAGAGTTAGGTTTGGTGTTTACCGGGATAGTGCTGGTTTTGGCCAGGAAAAATGGTCCTGTGACATGGGGACTTTCCTGGATTAGTATTTAATTATGACCAATATATTACTTTATAGATAGTTTTTAAATATAGAATTGCTTCTTCCAGCATGTACATTTTCAGAATGCCTCTTACTGATGTACACAACATTTAAGTATCTAAAAATGGCTTTCAAAAGATGCTGGATTGGATTTCATTCAGATCCTCCTTTTAGCCACTAACATTAATATTCTGCATTGGAGGCAAAATATTGCAAAAAATATTGACACTTAACTTCTGTACATTAAGCCACAGTATGTCAAATACCACGTGTGAGTATCTGATATGGTGGTGAGTCTTTGAAAGATTCAAATCTAGACTCTGTGTACGCTGTTGCTTGGTGTTTCTGTTGTGTGAATGTTCCTAGAAGACACTTGAGCAAGCAAAAGAAATGTACCAAATAGGGCATTTTGAAAAGTTATATTTGTTTTCATTTTTCTTTTTTAATCTAAGCTGGTATGGTGAAGGAACAGCAGCAAAATTCTCTCACACCAAATTCCTCTGACCAAAGGTTTTACAAACATTAGACCAGGTCCTCAGGTGGTATTAATCAGCACAGCTAAGCTGATTCAGTAGGTTTGTCCTGATTTATCCCTGCTGAAACTCTGGTTCAGTTCTTTGACACTTTAGGTGCCACATACAGCTATATCCCCATGTAC